GAGGGGGGGGGGCAGAAAGTGGAATTGAAAGCAGACAACAGAACATTGCTAGAGAGCAGGAAAGGAGGTGAAAGGAGACACTTTTAGAGAAGAATATTTTTCGTTTCGGTCGCTACCCGGATTCGAACCCGGGACCTTTGAAAGAGAGGCCAACGCCTTAACCTCTAGGCCACGAGAGCCCCCGCGTGGTTTTTTTGGAGGTTTCAAGGTTTTCAATCTCTCTGGCTCAGTCCTCACTTAAAGAGAGAGATGGATGTTGGATTCGGAGGTCGTGCCTCGTAAATAATCTAATAGTGTTGATAGGGGCGTTAAACCCATACGCTTACACCTACCGGTACCTTAATTGTCGGAAAGGTGGGGGGGGGCGGGGTCAGTGCTAATGGGGGTGTAGTTCGGGTGGAGGAAGAGTGAACTTCTCATTTTTATTGCTCTGATGTGGTTTGCTTTTTCTTTCCATCAAACATCTATCGTCCTTATCTCCCTTTCTTCTTTTTAAAATGTTTGTTACTCTCTTGAAACACCTAAAATCTTCTGGCGCTCATATGACATTATGCAGTTGTGAGCGCCGTAAAACCTCTACTAAAAAACCCAGAAACACTTACAAAAACTATTCTGGAATTTTTGCTCACCCAATATATATCTCATTTCTGTCTGGCAGGATCCGGCCCCAGAATGCGCGGGAAAAGATCGACATGTGCCAGGTGTGCACGTCGCTCACAGACGAGGCCCGCCAGGTACGTCTGGGCCAGGACAAGGCCTTCACCTTTGACCACGTCTTCGACATGCCCACCCAGCAGGACTCCATCTACAACAGCTGTGTGCGACAACTCATCGACGGGTACGTGGCATGTGTGTCATCTTGTGTCTTGTGTGTCATCGTGTGTCATCGTGTGTCCGTGTGTGTCTGTGTACATCATGTTTGTCCGGGTGTGTCATCTGTGTCCGCCACCTCATCGACGGGTACGTGTCATGTGTGTCCGTTTGTCTCATTTGTGTCCGTGTATGTGTGTCCGTGTCTGTGTTTCTGTGTGTGTCATGTGTGTCCGTGTATGTGTGTCCGTGTGTGTCATTTGTGTCCATGTATGTGTGTCAGTGTATGTCATGTGTGCGTCATGTGTGCTGCTCCTCTGGAAGTGGCTGAATGAAGATGTGACAGCGAAAGATCTTGTCAGTATGTTAGTGTTTTAGCTCCTATAAATGGCCGCTTGCACTGTATATGGTTCACAGGAAGTTGAGGTTGTTTCAGAATGCTCTCAGGTCAGCTGGGGTAATAGTATAGATTGTGAAGCGCGTAGAGCTTGCTGTTGAGCGGGGATTTGCAATATATCTGTCTATCTATCTATCTATCTATCTATCTATCTATCTATCTATCTATCTATCTATCTATCTATCTATCTATCTATCTATCTATCTCTCTCTCTCT